CATCATCATCATCATCGTACAGCGAAATACAGTAAAGCGAATTTCACTGATTGCTGCCAATCTCGCAATGCATACAAGGTTAATGGCTAAATTTAAGGTGGACGGGGAGTGGACCTACTTTGAGGGAGGGAGAAGAAAGTGAACCTCAATGGTCAACACAGTGCGCAATCGAACTCTGCATACATACCGTTTCAAGCGTTCTGGCCTGAAAAGAAATGACAAAAAGAACTGCACTGCTGTCGGTTCGATGCCATATCCTTCCGGTTGCGGAGTCTTTCGCACCCCAACCTGGGAGGCGAGGGACGCCTACTCTACTTAATGGCTCTGTGCATTTGTTCATACCTCGTCTCCACGTTATCTGTTGACCTCCACACGGTTTCCTCCAGCCCGGATTAGCTACAGTGAATAAAGCGCGGTGTGGCAGCTGATGGCTGGGCATACGCAATACGTGCCGTGGTCAGCAAAATTTATTAATCTGGGTTTATACCTGATAGAGTCCCAAACATACGGCGGCTTACCTCCACGTTACTAACCCGGTCGCTCCATCCAACGTGGGCTAAACTGCGTAGACACCGATAATCGAAAACTTCTAGTCGGCGGATATACTGGCAAATTCACGGTCCCACAACCATAAAGCAGAACTGAACGAACACTAGCACAATATACACGACCTTTCAACTTCAGTGAAATGTCGCGTCTACGCCAAAGGTGTTTCAGGCCTGCACATGCTGCTCGAGCGTTGGAAATGCGGGCGGTTATTTCCATTGCTGCACTACCGTCATTGGTCATGCAGCTACCCAAGTAAGAAAAGTAATCCACCGTAACTAATTTCTGGCCGTTAAGTTTTGGAGCGGGAGTAGGCGAAACCCAGTCCTGCAGCATCACTTTGCACTTTGAAGGTACAAAGCACATAGCGAATACGGCTACTGCACTTATTAGTCTATCAAGTGCGCTTTGCGCGTCCTCCATACATTCGAACAAACAGACGATGTCATCGGTGAACTGATCGCTACCAGCCTCTTACCACACAAAGTAAGAACGAATGCGTAAGGATAATTGGGACGAGGCGTGTTTCGAGAGGACGGGAAAGAAAGCAAACCTCGGAAGTTGGTATGTACAAGTCTGTCCTGATCCCTCCTCATTTGCGTGTCCATATGTTAGATCACAGCGGTTGTTTGCATCATAAATGTACAAATTCTCTAGTGCATGATCTTGCATTCACCGGAAAACAGGCGCTTTGGACTTTCTTTTCATCCACTACCGCTCAGGTTGGTATTGGGCAAGCTTTTCATTGAGAAACGTCCTCTACGTCATTCTGTCACAACGATGTACAGGTACCGTTCTAGGGTGATGCGTATGAATATCCACACTGTCACTTTTGCGGAAATAACTGTAGGTAGCGGTTGTAAAACATCAAGGGCGGTCAAACTAAGACCTGGCATGAGGGTATTAAAACCCTGACTAGGAGACTGGTTCACATAGTTCCCGTTAGACTCCCTGGCTGGGGACCCCGAGATAATGGTCACCGATGTTTAGAGACATTGAGCGATATGGCTGGATATCGCAAGCAGTGGCGCTCATACATCTACTCATTATTCTTGTAACTTCAGTCTATGTAAATGCGCTATCTTCCGCTTGAAATTGCTCTCAACATCCCCCTGTTTATTCAAATGAGCAACCAAAACACAGCAACCAGAACCGGCCAACGAAAGTTCATGGTTAATGGTTGTAAGAACTGAACTGCCTATGAAATGATGCTGTATCTGGCTTGTGAATAAAACGCTGAAAATGAACTTGTTTGCCGTTTCGATATCGTCATACGAACCGCGATGATGTTCCAGCCAGTTTGGATAGTTTTAACATATCACTTACACAATTGCGTCAACTACCGCACACTGATTCTGAATTTTTCTCTTCGTTAATTTGTCGAAAAAGTTGTTCGTCTTACTCTCGCCATGCGATGGTCTTAAACCCCTATGCTGTTTCAACCGCAGATGATACGAAAAATGGAGACCAACCGAAAAACGAAGACAGTGCTCCCGTGATGTGGCATTTGAAACGATCCGAATCATCCGCCACAGACTGTGAGGGTCCTTACACCACTGAACAGCTAAAACAGTGGATGGACCAAGGGAAATTCCGTGAGGCAAAATGCATCCTCGTACGACAGGTGGATAAACCAGACGGCCAGTTCTATAACATCAACCGAATCGATTTTGATTTGTACGAGTGATCGTGATTCATGAACACGTGGGTTTGGAGTGTGCATTCCGGCTTTCACACTTGACCACTGCTTGTTATTGTATGAACAATCTGTAAATACATCCTTTTCATACTTTGTATTTTGCGGATTCAAATTACGACGTATCGTAGAGCGTATCAGCTTTCGAATGTTTCTGTCGTCACGTGCCATGGTTTAGAACAAAGCATGTGTGCAGAACAATCCGTGTTATTGTAGAGGTCTATGTTAACGACCATCATACTAAACTGTACACTCTGAAGCCTTCGAAACAAGAGACTGTTCATCACTTAATGTACGTTAGCATTACCAGTTGAAACTCGACCCATCTAATCTCAGATCTAAAAAATGTGAGGCTTAAATAGCTAGGATTCTTTTCTCTCTTATTACTAGGTTGGTATATAACCACTGGTTTCGCAAAACACTAGTCACTTGATGTTGCCTAATGAGATCACAACTAACTTAAAACCTTCCACCCCATCCCAGATCCATCTGTTCAGACTGCATCGTAAATAATTACGCTCTCTAAATAAAAGTAAAAAGAAAATTATCTTTAGGGCTAATTGGTTTGACGTTAGTGCCATTTTCCTATCACGAACGTGGTGTTCTTGATTCAAGGGGAGAATAATGTGTCTTACTCACGATGCCTATTGCTCAGGAGATTTCGCAGAAACGGTTCAACTCAAACTCATAAACACACGGTGAATATGTGAAGAACATGAAAGGCACTCACATTTTAAAGAAAAACGACAGAATAGCCTGTTGATTTCATTGTACTGGACATACACAACCTGTGGGTATTTGTCAAAAATAAGGGGACAACAGCGAAAGGATGGCATTATTTACCTATGATCAACAAGTAAAAATAGGAATTTTTCATCAGGAACTCAAGTTTTGGGACAACCAGTGACCAGAAAAAAGACACTCATGAAAATGAAACCACGGTGGACTGACTGCACAACGAGGGTAAAGGCACGGGTAGGAATTGTTGAAAGCACGGAAAGAACAAAAGACGTCCACGTGACGTCGAAAGTTGGAACGCTGGGAAAAGTAGATCAATGAAACAAAAACTTGCAGTTTTGCGTATCACAGCCAAACTATCTATACAAAAGAGATAATTGTGTGTTCTCAGTATTTGAATTTGGCGTGAATGAAAGCTCCGATATTTCGCCATTCTTGTTTTCCCATAGGAATTGAGGAGTACGGTAGCTGAGAAGCAAAGCACTGTAGAAAAGGGAAACCAGACGTTAGGCAACATGGTGGCTTTTTATCCGTTCACTATGCCAAAGGTAAATAGGGAAACTGCTAATTGGAAGATATATATATATATATATTAAATAGCATCGAAAGATGAATCCCGACTAGTGCTAAAAGCAAACATGCAATCCGTGAGAGATAACAGGTTGTTCCCTTGGAGTAGTAAGTTAAGCAACCATTATTTTGGGTTAATTGTTTTTTTATTACATGACAAGCTTGATGTACAGTGAATGAGTGAGAAAACAACACACAATAGGGATGGGGGAATACTCTTCGAAAACTTGTTGATTATATTTCTGGATACAGCGTGAGGAAAAAGCAAGGAGGAACGTATTGTTGGAGGGAGAATTTGAACGACACCGTTCGACAGGTGCATACAGTCGCCTGTTGGCTTCAGGCTTGTGATTGGGTCCCTAGAGTAAATGAAGGCGGAGAACTTAAAAACCGTAGCAAATGGATAAAGAGGTAAAGTGGTTGCACACGGGATCCTCGATAAGGTTTTACGTTGAACACGGTTTAAAATTGCTAAGGAAGAAACCTGACCCCATGCACGACTACAATATTGCATAATGAGACGTGTTTGGGTATTGACAGGGGTGAGAAGTTGAATAAACTAAGAAAGCTTCCTGTAAGTACTCGATGCAAGTTCAACACGAGCAGACCAATACATGGGAGAAGGGAACTGGAAGCTAAGCAGAACTGTAGCTGTAGAACGAAGTGATAAAAACCGAAAAGCAAGTCATTTGCTAGAGGGGTACAGACATACAATCTGTTCTGAAGGCATTGAAAGAGTTTTAGTGGTAGCGAGGATCCTCAGATGTGAGTACTGTCGCAAGCGACAGTATTAGGGAACGTGTTGTAAAAAAGAGGGTAATGTGAGATACAATCCTCGGGAAAGCATGGATAGGATAAAGAGCTGGGGATGAAAGGTCTTCGATGAGCAGATTGAACAGCGTAGTAGATGACACGGAAACTTGTGGGATACTGAACCTAAAAAAGGTTCCTCTATAGAGAATCCTATCGATATGACCCAGGATGGAACAGTCACAAAGGCAGATTTGTTTTCAGGTGATGAAAGTTTGAGTTTCATTGGGGTATGTCCTGCTGAACTGGGTCGATGGAGACCAGATGTGACAAGCGATAGTGGTCAACGGCGGAGGACCGAATGGATGACCAGTATATCAACAGGTTGCCAGTGGATATGTGAAAGTCATACTGGAGCCAGTGGAGAACTTCACGACTGTTCAAATGACAGCGGGGGAGATTGGGCGGTAATTGTTAGAATCACAGGATGAATCTAGTTCAGGGACGGGAAAGACGGAAATTTTTCCAATAACTGGAAAACATCGTGCGAAAGAGGTTGGGAGAAAAAACAACAGGATACGAACAAACACTGACGTGCAAGTCTTAGTGGGATACCATCTGAGACCGGTGGCATGTATCTAGTTAGCGAACGTAGTGCTAGGTGGATATTCCTGATTGTGATTTGAGGACAGAATGAAAGAACACAATGGGTATCGGATGAGGAATAATGATAGATGGAAGCAAGGTAGATTAAAAGGTAAATAGCTCAGTCCTTCACGAGAAACTCGCGATCAGATCGACAGAAGCATTCTCAACCGGGGAAAAAGACGAAAGGCCAAATTTACCGGATACTGCTTTGAAAAGAAACCTGGACGAGTGGCTACCTGAAGAAAGGTCGGAAAGCTTGTTGGTCTTATGAACAAATTTCTTTGGCTCCCTGGATGATTGCTCCAGATTGGGCACAGTGTACACCATTCTGCAGCGTTGTTTCCCCGACTTGGAAAAATGGGAGAAAACTTGTACATGACTTTGAGAAAAGTCTCCGTAACATTCACGGCCGAGGCGAACAGGTCAGGAGAAAGCGCAATTGCGTTAGGAATAGGATGCCGGGAACTCAAGAAAGTCATTAGACAATCCCGTTACGCCTGAATGTCATTATTCAACACGTAACGAATTACATAGATCTGGAAAATGTGCCACAACATATGAACAAAAAACCCGTAGAATGGGTCCAAAGGTTGTGTGAGTATGTCACTTCCCGGTTGCCCTGACCGAGGAAGAGGGATAGCCTTGGGATCCCCACCGGAAGCATTTGGCTAGAAAGCCAGCAGGACAGAGCTCGGAGTCTGCAGTCAATTGGGGGTCGGTGTCCAGTTCATCGTATCATAAGCCCTTTGGGCGGGGCCAAAAGTCCAACTGAGCCGGCGACCACCGCCAAAACCAGGAGTGTGTGCATGCGGTTCGTACGCCTCTTGGTTGGTTTGGAATAAGAGTGTTTATCCAAGTCCACTAGGTGGACTATCAGGGGTACACCGATTCGGTTATGGCCCTGGTTCGTCCAGAATGTACGGGAGATAAAAACATTGAGATTATAAATCGAGCGCGTTTTGGCCTACAATTGACTGATACGTTTGTCATCCATGCCTGTGACCGGGTTGACGGATTGATTGATTTGCTGATTGTCTCAGTATCGTCAAATCAGAGGTGATATGATCTTACTGTATCGGATTTTCCAACAGCCCGAACATCCATGTAAATCTCTTTTGGTTCTATCAACCAATGTTTATCTCAAAGGGCATCAATTGAAGTTGGCACTCCAAAAGAGCCGTCTCGACCGCAGACACCATTCGTTTACGGTCAGAGTGTGCAGCACATGGAACTCACTACCACCTCACGTGGCCTATGGCCCAACATTAATATCTTTCAAGCGTCAGTTTGATGATGCTCTAGCAAATATTGTTTCAACACCCAACTACATAATATGTTCTGCGCGCTTCAAAAACATTACATTACTATTTTATGTACATGGACTAACTATGGTCTTATTAGTCGTGTTCCGAACCCAAAGTGTAGACGCCCTATGGGATTTGATAAGCGAACTCTTTGTAAGTTTTTCCCGTAATAAAAATTTGAATTTGTTTAAATGCCTGCTTGACAACATAAAAATGCCGTGTGATGCTTCAGCCGTTTATCGGTCTGCCTACCTGCTTCCAAGGTGTTTCGCGTTTCTGCTTACTCATCGGCCTACGGACCGGTCACATGTGTGCCTGCTACAATAAAGGTACTGCCGAATTCATTGCGTGTTTTATAACCTACTTAAATGGGACATAGCATAGACATACAGTGTAAAACTTAAAGGCAAGAAGCTGATAAGGATCTCACGAGCCAAGACGGTATAGCGATGATAAATATGAGAACAGAGGCTAGAAGCACTAAATTGCGATGGAAATGTTTGTGATGACTGGCAGAGAGCACTGGACAGTTGTTTTGTTTTGTTCGAGACTCTTCAGGAGTGCGTACTTTTTGTATCCCTGTCAGGATGCGAGCCGCGAACATTCGGGTTGGGACTTCAAACCCTCACCCCTGAGCTATACGGTCGACGGTCCAAGCTGGATACTCTAAACTGAAAGCACCTTCCTGTAAAATCGAGGACACAGGCGAGAAAGGTGATCAACTGTAACAGGTTGTTCATAAACTGAGCGGTAAAGTGTCAATCGAACGAGAGAAAATGTCGTTGAGGTTCCTGTGGAAGAGGGGTGAGATTTCACAGTGCCGGAAACTGTATCAATTGTTGATCCGGCTTGCGAAAAATGATACTCATACCATTTATTCGTTATCCCCTTCGTATTATTGTGAACGGTAAACAAATTTCAAATGCGTAAATTTGACGTCAGATGATAAAGGGATGTGGAACATCGATCTGATATATTCGG